AAAAACATTTCAAGAGATTTAAAAGATAAAACAGATATAGAGTGTCAATTTTTTGAAACAGCAGAAGATGTTCCAGAACCTGAAAGTCTTGACTCTATTAAAAATAATTTAATGATATTTGATGATTTACAATTAACAAAACAAAACAAGTGTGAAAAGTACTATATAAGAGGAAGACATAGTAATGTAGATTGTTTCTATCTTGCACAAAATTATTTTGAGTTACCTAGGAGAACGATAAGAGAAAATGCAAATTTTATATGCTTGTGTAAACAAGATTCTAAAAATGTAAATCATATTTATAATGACCATGTTTCAAGTGATATGAAATTAGATGAGTTTAAAAAGTTTTGTAATGAAGCTTGGTCAAAAAAGCATGGATTTGTTGTTATAGATTTGTCTTCTGATTTGTTAAATGCAAAGTATAGAAGTGGATTAGATTTATTTTATTATCCAACTTGATTGTGGAATCAATAAATATATATTTTTTAAAAAATATATATTATAAGATTTAGCAAAGCCTAAGTTCCAAAGGAACCTAAAGAAGAAGACCTAATAAGGGTATATTCTTAAATGGAGAATTTTCTCCTAAGAACAATCCTCTACCTACTGATGAATAATCATTTCCATTTTTAGAATAATATCCATCTAAATAATTATAACTACCATTCCATGGGTTTAAAAATACACCTTTTTCTACTTTTCTAATTTTAAATCCACTACCATTCTTTTTCACATAAATAATACCATTTCCAGCAATTTTATTAACTATAGTACTTCCAGCAGCTGCAGCTGTTCCAGCCAGCTGTTCCTTGTTTCCGGCTATAGCTGTTGCTATAGCCGGAACAACTTTTGATGCAATTAGACTTCCAATTATTCCTAACAAAGGTAAAAATCCACCATTTACTTTAGTATTATATTTAAGTTGTGCTCTACTCAGTGAAAGTGTTATACCCTTATTTTTTAAATAAGTTGCCTTCATTCTGTTTCTTTGTGAATCTGTTAAAGCTATTTTATGTTCACCATTTAAATCTTGATGTGTTAATTTTATAACAGCATTAGTATTAGATTCAATTGATTTTTTAATTTTTTCTTTCTGACTATCTGAAAGATTGATAAGAGTATCATAGTATTTTGTCATTTTTATATATGTATTATTTTTTTTTAATTCATTTGCATGAATCTAGATCCCGAAGGGATCTAAATCGCTTTCTGTAATGCTTTATACCCATCATCATCTATTTGACCCTGCCGTAACAGCTCATCACAAATAGCAACAACCTCATTTCTAACTCCAGTATTGCCTGCTTGTAAAGCAGCTAAGCGTAATAGTGCAAAATAGTGCATTTGGATCACTAGGAAGAATGACAACTCCTTTTCCAGACTTTCCAATCATCTCTTCCCAAATAGGTTTTATTACATTAGTGTACTTATAACTTTTAGATGATCTTGGTTTAGCTGAATTTAAATCAGAGCGAATTGCATCTGTTTGATCTAAAATTTCTTTATACTTATTACGATCATTGTTAGTATATTTAACAGGATGAGATTTTACTATGATTTCCCAAAGACCAGGTGTACCAGTGTATTTTTTATCTTCAATAGTTATATCATTACCTTCAATAGTTATTGGTTTTTTACCAATGTGAAATTTTTTATCACCTTCATTGTAATGTATACCAAATATATCATCTGATACTTTTTTACTATTTTTAGCAGTATATAACTTTAGATATTCTGCTGCGATAGGTCCTAATGACATTTTATCTACAACTTCAGGTGGCATGATTGATTTAGTTTTAGAATCTAGTAAAGCAGGATAACTTGAAAAAGTATTAGCTATTTGATCAGCTTTATTTTCTAATTTAGATATACCTTCTTTTATTCCAGATTGACTATCAATTATTGGTTTGTACAATTTTTCCAAGTTAGTCTGTAAAGTATCATAACCTAACTTTTCATTAATAGAATCTTGATATACACTTTTCTTTAACCTATCAATTTCTTTTGCTAATTTTAATCTTGCTTCAATATCTGTAGCTTTTACATATGACATTTTTTATAAGCAATATTTTTTTAAATCAACATAATATATGTTCAAGTAATACATAATATATGTTCAAGTAATACATAATATATGTTCAAGTAATTCATAATATATGTTTTAATTCTTAAGAGTATTATTCATCACTCCTATATTCTGATTTTTGTTAAATCTCATATTTAACAATTCAATGACATCACTTTTGCCTTTTTCTATTCCTTTATTAAATATTGACTTTTTAGTCTGCTCTTCTATATCTTTCTTAGATTCTGTTCTAATTTGTTCGACCATAGCTAGAAACTTTTCATATTCTGAAAGTATCATTGCAAATTCTACATCATCGATAAAACCATCTTTTAAAGCTTTAGAAATAATACCGCTTATCGTATTTAATTTTGCATCAGCTAATACTTTAATCTTTTCATGCTTTTCTGCTTTTTTATTATATATTATAATTACTTGAGATCCTATTATTGATAATGCACCCATACCTAATGCTGAACCTCCACATGCAATAGCTACTGGTGCTCCAGCTATTGTCGTTAAAAAACCAATACCAACAGCTCCAAGTGTCATAGTAGTTGCATGTAATGTATTATTAACAACTGAAATTATTCTTACAGCTCTGTGATATTTTTTACTCAACTTAGCTCTTTTACTTCTTTCACATTCTATTTTACTTTGAATTTCACTTATTTTATCTAATCTATATCTCTGATCTATAGATAGTGGTGGTGCAGATGGATTTTCTGAAAACTGGTTAAGATCTGGATAAAGCTGTTTACATTCATTATTACATTGCATTTTTTTTTTCTATAAAGAAAAATTTGTTTTAAATCACTTTTTACCAAAATCAAATAGAGCATTGTCAGATTTATCTATACTAGGTTTTTCTTCATCACATATAGCTTCTTTAATTATATCTCCTACACTAGATAATAAAGATTTTACAGATTCTTTATCACTTTTTGATCTAGATTCTACTTTTTTATCAGGTTCTAAAGCAGCTCTATGTGATATATGATTTGTATTAAAAACGCCATTATAAGATGAAATACAGCATAACAAATCTCCTTTTTTAATGTTTATATCTTTTTTATCGTTATTATATAAAGTTATTTTAATATCATCAGTAGACTCTATTACAGCAGAATTTAGTAAATTTAGAGTAGGTTTATAATTTTCTGCAAGTGAAATCAATACATGTCCTTTATCTATTTTAACCCCACACATTAAAGAAATGTTATTGTATGAATTTAATTTTACTGTAAAATCTTCTTGTGCAAATACTTTAATATGTCTATCATTTATTGCTCTATGTTCTAAATCTAAATTAATATTAAAAGTTATTGTATATTTTTCATGCTTTTCATAATCTAAAAACATTCTTCTTTTATACATTTTTTTAAATGTAAAGATTTTTTAGATCACTATAAATATAATACTTTTAAAGTATGATATTTTTTCATTTTTTTAAAGTTCTAACAATATAATTTAAAATACTTTCACCTTGATGTAAAAAATAACATGTTTTATCACTTTTATTTTTATATATTGTTTCTATTTCTCCTTTTTTATTTTTCTTTAATTTACTCTCTACTAATTTACATGGAGTATAATGACAAATTTCTACATTTTCTTCAATTTCTTTTTTAGAATGAGCATATTTACAATTTATATTTTTACACTCTTTTTTATCAAGAATATATTTGCATAATTTAGTTTTAGCTTTTCTTAATTTTAATAATTCTGACTTTTTAGGATAAAATAATACACATTCTTTATTCTTACATTTAGGATATTCATAGCAAATATGAATATGCCTATATTGACATGAAGATTTAGTGCATATTAGTCTTTCCTTTACAGTATTACAATAAGGAATATCATGATTGTATTTACATTTTCTTCCAAAATTGCAGAAATTATCATTTAAAATATTTTTACAGAAAATGGGTAGTTTCTCTACAAAATGAATTGTTGAAGGTTTTCCATCTTTAGTAAAATTAATATCAACATTAAATGGTTTTTCAAAACTAAATTTTTTGTTTTTGTTATGTTTTTTTGTTAAAAAACTATCTATAGCAGGATATTCATCATAAATAATATTGCTGTAAGTTGGAACATAATTAATCCATTTCAGTTTATCTTTATACAATTCCATAATTTGTACTGTTTTTGAAGGAATTGGAACTATACATTTTTCTTGACTTTCTTCTTCATCAGAATCATCAGATGTAAAATAAGTGTCATCTTCAGAATCTGATTCTTCAAACTCAAATTTTAATATTTCTTCAAAAAGTTTAAATTCTTTTTGAAATTCAGATATTTCATTAATCTCATCATCATTCATTTTTATTTTTATTATTTGTAAAAATATTTTAAATCAAAAAAATTAAAAATGAGTTAAATAAATTTCTTATGTATATAAAAAGAATGGAAAATAAACTTGAAGAATTAATAAAATTAATAGATGAAAGATTAAGATTAATAGAAGAAAAATTAAATATTATTGATACTCATGATATTGAAATGACTGAAGATTCTGAAGTTACTACAGTTACTACTACTGAAGTTACTGAAATTACAGAAACTACTGAATATGATAATGATATTGAAATGACTGAAGAAGATGATGAAGATGAAGAAGTTACTACAGTTACTACTACTGAAGTTACTGAAATTACAGAAACTACTGAATATGTTGATGATGAAGATGATGAAGATGATGAAAGTACACAGAATTAAATATTTTATTTTTTTGTAAAAAAAATAAAAAATTGAAAATGAGTTAAATAATTTTCTTTTATATATAAAAGGAATGGAAAACGAAATGAAACTTGAAGAATTATGCTTAAAAATAAAATTGATTGAAGAAAGATTAGAAGTGTTAAAAAATCTTGAAGCTACTGAGATGTTAAAAAAATATGTGTATAATAAAAAATGGCATAAAAATATGGTTGAAAATAAAGTTGACTTTGCTGCAAGTATAGGAAGAATTAATTTAATTAAATTATTAAATCAAATAAGTGAAAAAGGGACAGAAAAAGCAGTTGATTTTGCTGCAAAAAATGGACATCTTGAAGTACTTGAATATTTACATTCAATAGGATATAAAGGTACAGATCGTGCAATTAATTATGCTGCAATTAATGGTTATCTTGAAGTACTTGAATATTTACATTCGTTAGGTTATAGAGTAACAGAATGCACAATTTGTTGTGTTGCAAAAAATGGAAATCTTGAAATATTAAAATACTTGCATGAATTAGGGTATAAAGGTACAGAAGATGTAATAGATAATGCTGTTGAAAGTGGAAATCTTGAAATATTAAAATACTTGCATGAATTAGGGTATAAAGGTTCAGAATATGCAATAGATGATGCTGTTGAAATTGGAAATCTTGAAATATTAAAATACTTGCATGAATTAGGGTATAAAGGTTCAGAATATGCAATAGATGATGCTGTTGAAAGTGGAAATCTTGAAATATTAAAATACTTGCATGAATTAGGGTATAAAGGTACACAATATGCATTTAATTGTGCTGTTAAAAGTGGAAATCTTGAAATATTAAAATACTTGCATGAATTAGGGTATAAAGGTACACAATATGCATTTAATTGTGCTGTTAAAAGTGGAAATCTTGAAATATTAAAATACTTGCATGAATTAGGGTATAAAGGTACACAATATGCATTTAATTGTGCTGTTAAAAGTGGAAATCTTGAAGTACTAAAATGTTTACATTCTATAGGATATAAATGTACAGATTAATACTTTTTGATACACGTAGTGACTATAAATTCTAGTAGTGATAAAGTTATGCAATGCTCCTACACATAAACAAAATTTTAAATAAATCCAAGCGCATGCGCACAAGAGCAATCTGCGATAGCAAGAAACAACAAGAAAAAGTCATGTGACGTCACAGCAAGAAAATTTCGTGATCTTTGACGTCAAGAAATAAAAAATTAACGCTTATTTAAAAAAATTCAATTTTCAATTTTTTAAAAAATTGAAAATTTATTTCTAATCTAAATAATTTATACACAATAGGGATAACATTGAACCCTATAATAATATTAATATGTGGTTGAAAATATGGTTGAAAATAAAAATGAGCTAGAACTCTCATATTCCTACTACTAGTGCAAATGCTCCAAAGTGTATGTTGGTGAAACAAAACTTCAAATACGAACAAGGGTTCAACAACACCAAAAATTTTTGACTGAAGGTAAATTAAACCAGTCTGCATTAGCCTTTCATAAAGTAAATTGCAATGAGGACATTGAATGGATTAAAGTAGTAACACTTAAAGTTGAGGATTAAAAAGTTGAAAGAAAAGTCCGTGAGGCCTTGGAGATACAAAAATATCAATGTTCTCCAATGTTCGGTGGTATGAATTTGGACAATGAACAATATTTAAAAACAAATTTTTGGACTTTATTTTTTTCATACTTAAGGGGGAAGCCCCCCCCCCCCTCCTAAACAGAAGTATTAAACATTTTAAACAAAATCAAGAATATAAAACATCAATATAATATGAATAAACAAAATCCTTGAAAAAAAATACAAAATGGTTTTTGGTTGCCATAGTAACCACAAAAAACACATAAAAATGGGCAAATTTTGCATTCACACCGGCCATAAAAACTAAATAACCATGCAAGATCTCTTAAAAAGCTTTCACCAAATGCTTCACAAAAGGTCAAAGGGTGTTTTAATAGCGGCATTTTTCTGTAACTAAAAATCTGAGCAATGGGTAAAGATGGTTAAAGATGGCGAAAATATTTTTTATTCAAAATATTAAAAGTAAAAAAATTTAAACCTCAATTTAAAAAATTGTTTCTATTAAACCACAGTTTTTAATCATAGAAACAACTCCAGAAAATTTCATCAAAATTGGTAAAACGGTTCTTTAGATAAAACGGCCGGCGTATGAAAAAAGACTATTTTGAGAAAACGCGAAAAGAAAAAAAAATTAGCATATAAAACTTTGAAACTTTAAGTAAAACACATATTATAGTTAAAATATCTAAAATATCTAAAAGTATTAGAAACCTCCTGCTTTATACAACTTTCCTTCTTTTTCTTTTTCATTATCATTTTTATTATGTTTTTTGCCACAAATAATTTTTTGTCGCAACTTGTTTTTATCAATATTTATGTATTTGGAACGTGATAGTTGTTTTTAGTTTAAATTTTTACAACCTTTAAGAGTATATACTCCTGGAAATATTTCAAAAAATTCATAAACTAAAATCGAGGTTTTCGACCAATGTTAAAATTAGCCACTGCATCATAAACTCCAAATTCTAATTGACTGAATTATATAAATTTTATTTTAGGTAAACGTTCCCAGATAGTGCCATTAAAACTTTCATTGGTATTTTGTGTCTTACCATGTAGCAACTTCTCCAAATGTTGGTCAGCACTGAGTTCTGCAAAGATTGGTTTGATTTTATAAACAATAGCTATAGGTCCAGGTTTATAAGTTTCTTTTAAGTTGTACTATTGGCTTTACCTGAATTATATTTGCACCAATTATCAGCTCCTACTGGGCAATGTGGAAAATGTAGATTATTCTCCTTGTTGGAACCAACATAATAAAGTGATGCCAGAGTACCAGGTTTCATAAATGCTAAATCTCATTACAATACATTAGCTCTAATTTAAATACCAAAATAACTTTGCAACCGATCAATTTTGCATCTGTTAATTTAACTCTACCACCAAGGTTTTTAGTTTTTTTTTTCAACTTTTTTAATCTTGTACCTATACGTTTTCATTACATGAAACACCAGTATCAACAATATCAGTATTCGAATCGTGTCTGATTTCCGCAGTAGCATCACACATAGTCTCTATTGCTATTTTTTTTCACAACTTTAGAGATTTTTTAGCAAGCTTGTCATAGTTATTTGTAGTCATTGGCGGAGGAATATTCATAAAAGAAGTGAAGTTTTTAAGTCCTGCGTGACATTGACCCAATGACCGCATTGTCAAAATAACTCGCTTATTTATGTTGCATCCCTGCTTACCACTTTTTTTTATAGTACAAATATTTTTTAAAAATAAACAATTGGAACATTTTAAAACTAAAAAGGAGCAAGTCCATGTCGATCTTTTGAGTTGTCAGACAACACAAGAGAGTCTTCATTGAAGCACATTGGACAAATGAGTTCTTTAAAAATAACAAGTAACACTTCTATATCTATAATTCTTTATCCAGACAGTAGAGTACAAGATTCAACTACATCAATTTGTCGTATTTTTGAATGTGGTGCTGGAATATTTACAATATTATCAGAAGCGTCAGTCAGACAGTGAATCACAGTGTCATTATTAATTAAAATATTTACAATTGCAGTAGATTCTTTATTTACACTATCAACAAAAAATTCTTCTTCATAAAATAATGATTTTTTAACTGGAAAAGATCTATACTTTTTCATAACAATAATAGTTCGACGTTTTACTCTACAACATTTTGGCATTCTTGTTAAATTAAATAAAATTAATCTAAGTTGTTTTTGTCTCTTAATTTCGCTTACTTTTGCTTAGCTGAACAAGAAGTATAATAGAATGAAGCATCCTAACCCAAGTTAGGCATTTCACATTAGCTTTTTTTTTTTTTTTTCAAATTCGACAAAAAAAGTACACTTTCGATATAACAAGACATCAACTTACCATTAAAAAACCAAAAATTTCTGCACTTTAGAATGATTTTTATGAAAAACAAATTACATAAATGAAATCTATGGTAATTTTTATGTCTAAAAACAGTCATACTAAATTTTTGTTTTTTTGATGATTTTAGAGGGAGTTTCCCCCTTAAGTAAAAGAAGCCATTATAAAGGTGACGTCAAATAGAGGAGCCTCAAAGCCGTGTTGCTTTACCCGTCTCTTGGACCAGGCTTTCTGTTTAGAAGACCAATGTGAAGTAGGTGCCGCTGATAGAACTTCATAAAGCTAAACTAACTATACAATATATCAATAGCATCATTAGAGTAATTGTAATTAGTTATAAAATAATACTAACAAAAAAAAGTACTTGTAAATATCAAATATTGAAAAGTATTTAAAAATTTAAAAATAAAATTGTTTTGAATTTTCTGCAAATGTAATTGGGAGTTATTAAAAATGAGTGTTATATTATAGTGGTATTATAACTGGAATATACCACTTGAACATCTATGTATAAATTTTTAGAAAAAAATTTATTCTAAAAAATCAAAATCATATGTTTTTTAGGATTTTTAGATACATGTAAAAATCATTATTTTGTTGTTTAAGTCATGTTAATCGTAACACATTTGCATAAGTTAGAATCACTTCACAATCATTAAAATTTCAAAATTATACTCAGCATAAAATGTTTTTTTTTTTTTTATGATTCACCTTCCCAAGGCCGTGAAGGCCACTACAGTCGAGGAGGCTACTTAATTGTGGTTATAACCCTCTCTCAACTTTATAACTCCGAAACACGAACCGTGACGAACAAGGCTGCTGCGCGGAGAAACAAGTTGAGCGGCGGTACTACCGGGATTGAACTCGGAACCTCTCGCTTATGAAGCAAGCGCTCTACCACTACACCACTACCGCAATGTGCTATAAAAGAACAAAAAAAAAGTTTCTAATTTTGCAATTACATCTCCAAATCAATACTTTTGTAGCTAACAGGCAAAATTATCAAAGTCACCCCGCGTATCTAAGTCACCCCGTTTTACGGTAGTCATTGGTATGGAGTTACCGACGTTTTTAGTTATCAAAATGCAAATTGAAAATATAACCATGGTTACCATTTCATATTCAAATTTTAAAATTAAAAAGTTTGAACGAAATTAAAATAATAAATAAAAGTTTCTAAATAATAAAAACTTTTTAAACATTTGTCAAATAATGAATATATCTTTAATAAATAGTCTCGTTTATCCAAACTTAAAAAAAATTATTATTCAAAACATAACTCTAATACAAAAAAAAAAAAAAAAAAAAAAAACTCATAGCAAAAAAACGACATGCATAAAATTAGAAAATTAAATCTTTTTGTTTAAATAAAAATGTCTCTTCGTTTAAATTAAAAATTAAGAAAAACAAAATCAAAATATTTAAACGGCGAGCCACGTCTTCTGGTTAATTCTATTCTTTTAGTAATTTCTTTAATTTGTAAAAAAGTTAATACATTCGATAGTAATAAAATATAAAAACTTGAAAACTCAAAACCTAACGACTAGAAATTCAACTTCACTCATATTATTACTTTATATTAATTAATTAAACTCTGTTCCATACAAAAAAAAAAAAAAAAAAAAAAAAACATTTCTCTTAGTTTTATTTAAATGATAAAAACAATAGTTAAAAACCAAGCTATTAAAAATTCCTAGGAATTCTTGTAAACGAAAAATTGTCCTGGCTTCCCTAAATTATTTATGTACAGTCAAAAACTACCAAAACTAATGGCGTAATGTACTGAGTTCGACCATACGTCAGTATTTTAAGTCTCAAATTAATATATTTTGGGTTAATCCATTGTTTCATAAACTAAGCAAATATAACATGGGATAGTAACGCAAGAAACAAAACTTCCAAATTTGTATAGGCTACAAAAACACGCTTGCTATATTACATACCTTAAAGATAAACGAGAACATGCAAAACTTCTTATGAAAGATAAGAAATCAATGAATCTATTTGAAAGAAATATCTATCAGTATCTAGCTTTGTATAGATACTTCGACAGACTTTTGTGAGCAACAATAAGTTTGAAATAA